GCACAGTACTGATGGGAGGAGAGTTCAAGTTAGGAGATAATAAGAGAGCATCCGTGTGTGTAGGATTTGAACCTTGTGAAGATAAATATGGCCTGGAAATGCTCATTTCTAGTGCAACATGTCGCGAACGTAGACTGAGCACACAGATCATCTCCCGTGGTCACCAGAGCTCGAGTCCCAGCCATGACAAAAGCACAAGAGAGTGAGAGGTTTCTAATGGAGCTGCACAGGCCAACTCCCTCTGGAACCTCGAAATTGCGTTGTAGTTATGTCATCATCAACATAATCTATGGCTTTGTTGTTTCTTTACATGTATTGACACTGATTTTCAATATTTAGCTGAACTTTTGACCATACAAACTCTTTCAACCTTGAATATGAGCCAGACCTTCAAGATTTTGCAATTGTTTTGGTGTGAAAAAACCAAATCAGTCTACATTGTTGATTTCTTTGGACACTTGTTTATTGCTTGACAAACTTTCTCAAAACTAAAGAATTCTCCAGTAAAATATCTGCAGGTGTTTTTTTATCAAGAAACATCAAAGTTCTCAAGAACTTTGGACGTGAGGTCAAGCTCGATGTGTTCGCAGCACAGATGTCAGATCCTCATCCAGGTGTTTTGATGGTAGAGAAAGCACAAAAAAGGTTCTCTACCATCTAATGCAAATGTGACATGTTGCTTCTTACTCATGTCCAGAAAAGTAAAGCTGATAGTTCACTTTAAAAGACGATGCCATGCGGAGCCACACTGTCAGGAGAGCCATACCAAGCAAATGCTCGGAGAACTCCGCGGCCCCTTACATTGATCCACAACTGTCATGAAGTTTATAGACACGAAGGACAAACATGCTGGGCTACCACATGCTGCCAGAAAAGCTTCAGCGTACCTTGGCATTTGTTCTCCAAGCATCTTGAACTCTGCTACAGGAACAAAACACAATTCTTTCACTACGATCTCACGCCATCGTTTGGTGTTCAGAGTGCATCAGTGTAAAATCTCCCCTGTAAGATCCAACCCATCAAAAAATATCCAGAACGTTCTGATGTTTATTAACCCTTACCACAAGATCCACAAACATTTTTTCGCTATATCATGTTGTGTATGACATATTTATTATATTGTTAATATATATTTATTATATATTTTTATATCGCATTTGATACTTTGGGCATTTTTGGCAACTTTTCTTAACAACGTTAATTTTAGGCAAAAAAGTTTTGTCCATAACATTTTGAAATTATGGCAAGTATTGATCATGTTGCTGAGATAGAGGTCTATCATATATGATACAAAGGGCATTATAGAGTTAAACTACTGTAAAGCCAGTAGCATATGATTCACATTCATTCAGCTAAAGGAGAATGATGCTTCCTTCCAATGGGGCAAGAAAAACCATGCGAGCAAAACGCCCCTGTACAGAATGAGAGCTCCACTCATTGCTTAGAAGTTTCAGGTTCTTCAGTGTTTTCTGTGAGTTACAAAATGCTGCTGGTGACTTTGCTGAGGAGGTCAGTTTTGTCTTATAGTATATCAAGACATGAAGTGGATAACGAAAGCACCCCCTGATGCAGACATAGCACACTGCTGTGTTGCAATAACAGCTAATGAACAACTTCAGGAACCCAGAATTTTCTTTACATTGGATTTACTGTCTGTAGTAATTCAATGCAATGGAGAGGTGTTTACCAGCAAAGCAGATCTGTTAAAGAGCTCAGCCACTCTGCAACAACAAAGCCTGCATCACAGCAACATTTCAGTAGTTGCCAATTATATTTCAATCTGTTTACTGGAGTTAACATCAGAAAACTGTAGTTATGCACAGGAAACATACTAATAAAATCACTTGGGCAAACACTGACAGTGTGGTTGCATGCAGTCTTATTGGTCATTATAACCCCCAATGTTTGCCAATGCTGATGTCACCATAACGCCCTCCATCACCCCACATCCTCCTTACGTTGTGCTAAGATGTTTATTAGTTTGATTTGGTCAGATCCACCCCATGACCATTACCTCCAGTTTCAAAAAGCAAAGATGGAAGTCTTCAGAAATCAGACTTGACACTATACACATAACTGTCTTTTGTGCCAGTGCTTCTACAGCATCGCCCTTACTTTCAGTACAGGCCACGGTTTATTTGGTTCTTAAGACGTGTCTATTTACAAAGCATGAAGAGTGCATCTGGAGGTCTCTGAAACACAGGTGCTCTGGACCTGGGAAAGATGACAAATGAGAGCAGCAGTCTGGGCTATCATAAATTTCTCAGTCAATGCACTTTTAAGAAATGGGGAGTAAAATGTCTCTTATAAGCACTTCTTTTGACACAGTTTTTCATGATCCTCTGAATGTTTCACTACACTGCTGAGTGATCATCCACTGATATGGAGTGATGCTGATAATAAAGACACAGAGATGACCTTAGAGCTGCGGAGAGCAAGCACAGAGACTCTGCTGCTTCCAGGTGCTTCCAGGAATAGCAGAGCCACTAATGGCGCTGGCCAGCAAAGTGGGCTGTAATGCCTGTTGATGGAAAACACAGCCGGCCAATTACAGCGACCATATCTAATCACCAGGGTCAAGGGTCAACTCCCATCCACCATCTGTCTTCATTTGGCGTCTCTGTCATGAGCTGTTGCTTCATTGCCAGTGAAGAGTTTAAAAGACCTGAATGTACAGTCATGAGGCAAAGGGAGGACAGTGCATGACACGTACACAGTGAACAGTGATGTCCTAGCTGACATTCAAGGTCCATCCATAGTGCACTTCACAAACATGCTCACACTGATTCAAAGGTGTCTGTGGCTGATGGGACAGATCTGCTCAGACAACAACATTACGGAGGGACATCATAACCTTGAAAAGTCTGGAGCCTCCTGCCGTCTCCTCTCAGAGGAGAGAGAGAAGCTGTTGTCATTCAGCACACATGGTTTAGAAAGACTGAGTGTCAAGTGTAATAAATCACCCTGTCTATGCAAACAGAAACAGAGACAGATCCGCGTGTATTCTGAGACATTAGTGTGCACAGTCAGTAATTATGCATGTCTAAAGGGTCAGTTCATCCAAAAATGACATCACTGTGAGATAAGAGATCATGCTGATAGTAGAGAAGAGAGTTCATGGAAAGATCAAATGGCAAGTTGTTGTTGTTGTGCTTTAAACTCACTGTAAAAAGTGGAAGATGTTCTACTGACCGTAGATGTTGTAGCATTTTATTTTAAAAAGTTAAGCTAGCTCTTGTGCATGAGAAAAACCCCACAAAGCCAGAAAGACAAAGAGTTTCTCCAACTAGAGATTAGAGGGTTTTTCCATAGCATTCCTTGGATGCATTATTTTTTTCAGTCAGTCACTTCTCACTGGAATTTCACATAATGTTAGCTAGCTAGTAGCTCACAGAGCTAGCAGGCGTCTAACAAGAGAAGTTAGAAAAGAAAACTGAAAACACAAAGACAGGACCGATGTTACAGAACAACTGTCTATTGAAAACCCATGAAAAATTCCCACACTGAGGACCTGAATGAAAAAGCTGCAATTTAGCTTGAACAAGCTGATTAGACCTGGTTTACATAATCTAGTTAAAGTGACTATCCAACTCAGTGAGTTACAGATCAGCCACAGCGATCCTGTCATGTTCCTAGACTCTAGTTCTGATTGGTGAATTATCATTGCTGTTGGGAATGATGACTATTTCATAGTCAGCTGAAAATGTCATTTATTATAACCAGATCTGAGGCAATAAAACAGGAAATATAAATATACTTAAATTAAACCAGTGTGGGAAAGATTAGATGATCACAGTGGTCGTGTGAGCACGTTTAAATAAATGTGTGACAGCCTAGACCTAACAGAGGGTGAGAGATGGAGAAAGTGTATCTGTGCAGTCGGCTGTGGCTCCAGCTGTGGTGTGCTTTCAGGCAGGAGTGGAGGTGTGAGCGCACAGCCGGGTGCCGCCCCCTTCTCACCCCGACACCCTCAATAAGTCGCTTTCTCTCCGTTAATTAGGAGAACCCTGTGGGTGTGGGGTGTGGGGGTTGTGAAACAGCTGTCCATCCTGCGGTTACATCAGAGGCCCAGTTCATGCACTCACATCTAAGCAAATTCACAATAATTATGATGAACATCACCTATCCTTCATGTGAGGAGAGCATACTCTTGATACAACAGTCAAAAAGTCAGAAGCAAGCAAGTATTTTAGTCTTCTTTCAAAGACTTTCAAAGATTTGCTGTGTTATTAGAAAAGTTTGTACACTGTCATCATTGTCATAGTCCCTCTGTGATCAGCGTAGAATGAACCTGTTATACATCTTACAGCAAGGCAACGTCTTTGACAAATCAGTGGAATAGCCTCAAACACTTTCACAATGGAAACCTGCTACCCAGTTAGCAGTAACTGACTTTAAAAATAAAGTTATAAAATTATAAAATGGAAAATTGTCATTCTTGAAAACAAAAAAGTAAAATGAATCACCAAATTTGCTCGAAGAACTGTTAATAACCTAACAACCTGCCCAAGCGAGTCTCTGTGTGAGAAACACCAGACTGGCTGCATTGTACACCTTTGTATAAGAGTCATAGTTCAATTAGCACCGCCTGTCAGATGCTCATATAGTATTAGAAACCACCATGCACCACCACCCCCACACCTTTTAGATGTCAAATAGCAGCCATTATTCAAACCAAGTGTTTTACTCTTCCTTCAAAGACGTGTTACTGCTAGAAAAGTCTGTTTTTAGGTTGTGATCCAACGCTATCAACGTCTCCATGAAGAGGTTGTTTCAAGCTATTGCTAGATCTGCCAGGCATCTTGTTTAAAGCATACTAAGGACTTAAAGCTGTTTGTCTCAACCTATTGCTTCTGGATGTGCTCTCACTCTCAAAGAGGAGTAACATGAAGATGTGCTTTGCGTTCATATTCTACAACAACTGGTACATTCCTGCGTAAATCCCAGCCATTACTGATTGTGCTTTCACTGGGATGAACCGAAGGAAACGTAGCACTCACCCTCGCACTGTTTCCCATCTCCCTTGTATCCAGGCTTGCAGATGCAGTTGTAGGATTTGGCTGTGTTCTGGCAGAGGGCGTCGATGTGGCAGTCGTCTGAGTCCTCTGCGCACTCATCTACATCTGCACAAACACAAAACATCAGCACCTAATTAGACGCGAGTCCCTGGATCAATGAAGTCCACGGTGTTGCATGTGATAACTGATATATTGTTGTGATGTGATGTCATCACTTTACACATGTGAGCTAACTTAACAATTACAGAAGGTTTTTTGTATTTCCTTTGTTTGTTTGTTTGTTTGTTTGTTTGTTTGTTTGTTTGTTTGTTTGTTTTGCCTGTCCCGTTTGGTTCTTTAGCCGTCAGAATTGTTGTCTGAAGGCCAACAAAGATACCCGACAGATTTACTTTATCAATCATCATCATGATATTGATATGATAGTGGTTAAGAGAGTCATTGAGGCTATTATAAAACCGTTTACATACATCTGTAATTTATCATTTCAAACTGGTCGATTTCCAGACAGAATGAAAATAGCAATAACTATAAAACCACATTACATTCCCTTTTTACTCTTCAAAAAAAAGCAATTCAAATCATCCACAATGCAGGTTACAGGAACATACAAACTCACTATTTTTACAGTCTGAAATATTGAAAATTGGCGATCTAGTGAAATTCCAAACAGCATAAATTCTATTCAAAGCAAAAAATAAAGAACTGCCAGGTAATATTCAGAGTATGTTTTTTTTTAAAGAAGGAAGTTATAATTTAAGGGGTTTTTGTAACTTCAAAACAATGAAGGTACGTACTACAAGAAAGAGCTTTTGTGTTTCTGTGCATGGAGTGAAACTGTGGAACAGTCTGAATATGGAATTAAAGCAACGTCCAAACACAAAACTGTTCAAAAAGAGTTAAAAAATGTGATCTTCTCCAACTATAAAGAAAAGGAAAATATTGAAATTAAGTGAATGTCTCTATTTAAAAAAAAATAAAAATTTATGATGTGATATTACAGTATATATTATATCAGAAATCTGTTCACTATTTTTATTACAAATGTTATCAGTAAGGAAGCTGACTAAATATTAACTGATAATTTATGGCAAAGGGGTGGGATTAAATAAGTGTGTACTTCTTCCCTTTCAACATGTAAATTAATCAGAACGTTTTTTTGTATGTATTTTGTATACTACTTTTTTTCTCTCTTATTTTCTTTTCTAAATGTACTTGTATATTGTTCACATGTTGAAATAAATTACCAATCAATCAATCAATCAAATGGATCATCATCATGCCGTATCGGTCCATTTGATCGACCATTGTTGTTGTTATTTATTTTATTTTCAGTTGTTACAGACGGGACAGACATGGCTGTGGGACAGGAAAGGGAGAAAGAAAGAAAAAGAGAGGGGAAGAGGGACAGTGAGAAAGGGCACTTAAAAAGAAAAAAAGAAAACAAGCAAAAAAAGAGAGCAACATAATAAACACAACACCATCGCATTAATCTAGCTAAGTGTGAATAACAGTAAATACTAAATATTGAAAGTTGTTGTGCAGCACGCAGGATCGACAGCACACAATTTACTTTGAGGTAGCAGCCAGGTTTGTGTTAGTTTGTGTCTGTGAACAGTGAACACCTGTGTACACACCTGTGTGGATGAGCGTGCTTGTATTCAAAAAGGGTATTTCCATTTATTAAACAGGAAGCTCCTGTGTTGGATACACTTGCAGCAATGAGCAAGTGGTCATTGCTGCACTTTACCGAGACAGGAGCGTCCTTTGGTGACAACACATATATACAGAACAGATTCAGAAAAGGATGCTTTGGCTTGTTTAATTACAAAGTTTGCCCAGCAGGGGGCTCTGACTGTATTGTTCTCAGCACTGTCTGCAGTACATGTAGCAGAGTACATGTCAGAGAGCCCAGAGATAATAAAATCATTGCTAAAGTTATTTAAATATAAACCAGTTGTTATGAACACGTAGTGTGCATCAGTTTGATAGTAATATTCCCACTGACACATTTGGGTTCTTCATATTCTTCTCTCAAACGAGCAGTGACTGCTGTTGAATATGAACAATAAGAGAATTGATGAGTGAAACTAGAGCTGGGCGATAGAACGATAACGATATGTATCGCGATATAACTTTTACTCGATAGAGAAATTAAGCTATCGCGATAGACCTCGCCGCTCTTGTTCTCTTAAAAAAAAAAAAAAAAGGTCAGCCGATCCAAATTCAGTAGCGCAGAGCCGAACCAATCACAGCCGCAGCGTCACGTCGCGTGACTTGTTACGTACAGCACAAGTGCCAAGCCGCACGTGTGTTTGTTTGGGAAGCAGCCAGCGGGTAATGGAGCCAGCGCGTAATGGAGGAAATGAGTGTGCCGACTAGAAAAATCAACCGAGCGTGACCGAAGAGAAAACAGATGATGGTTCCAATGCCGGAGAGATTGTCGAACAGAAGAGCCATAGAAGCTCCGTAGTGTGAAGGTATTTCGGCTATTTCAAGTCTGACAAAAAACAGAGTAGCGTGCACTGTAAATGTGCCGAAAGCAAGTCTGGAAATACAATAAACTGGTGCATGCGTCACACTGTGCGCCACGTTATTGTTTCGGTGAAATGAATTTCTACAATACTGTTAATTCTACTCTCTGCAGTGTTTAAATGCTTACATATACACACAGTTACTGTCCCTCCACACATACGACTCGGTTCTGCTTCTATGCCGCAGCTTTGTTTACTTTTTCCCACCGAGGCTTCTAGACTTCTGATTGGCCAACATTTCGGCACGGTTAGGAATCTAGCGCCACCTGCTGCTTTGGCATGTTCATAGCAGCGTTTTCCTTCATTTCTGCCTTTATGTGTGGACGGGATTATTTTTAAAACGAAAACGGAAAATCTCCGTTTTCAAAAATACCCGTGTACGTGCGGACGTAGCCTCAGTCTCTGACTGGAAGCGCTAATTCGTCATTCGGCTTTTGTCAGACTAAAGTAACTGTTAAAACTGTTTGAAAAGCTAAGCTATACAACAAGGAGAGATTGAGAATTTCCTTTTAGTTCTCAGTTTATTTGATATTGACAAAAGTTAGTCAGTTTTGTCTGTTCTTCTGTAAAACAAACTAAGATTTATTTGTAGAATTAATATTTTGTTTCTAAGTGGAATTGACAATTTAGTCTGTTTCGTTTGTTCTATTTTGAAACTTAAACGCTTTAGCGGCTGCCTTTTGTGTAGTTTGCAATATTTGCCTTTATTTATCTGAAAAAGTCTCATGTTCCTTAAGTACATCTACCCTGTTGAACTTATTATGGGAAATAAATATTTAAATCAAAACAAGCTGCTGATTATTTCACATTTTACTTGTGAGCAACGGCACATTTAAATCTTACAAATATAGTTATTTGGCTTATATCGTGATGGATATCGTTATCGCCTGAAATGAAAAAAACATATCGTGATATGAAAAAATCTCATATCGCCCAGCTCTAAGTGAAACTAGCTACTCTGTGCGATGTGTCGTCCAGTCACGTGAACACAGAGTGGCCAAGCGTGGAAACAGGTTGAGGTTCAAGCACCCACTGATACCTCTGATGAAACACACTGATTTAATACTGTAACAGTGTAACAATGTTCCAGCACTCAACTTCCACATTTCCACACAGTCTGTGAACTTCATTTAAGGAATGCTTTCCATTCTTGGTCTAAGCAACAAAACTTAAAACTGCAACAAGTGAAAGTCCTTCATTTATAATTTTACCAATGTGGAAGTTTCATCATGAAAAAATGAATTGAAGCATTAAAGTTCTCTATGTAGAAAAGCACTTTAATGACATTATTTTCACTCATACATTACTGCCAGAATTCAGCTGTTAGTTTTTTATATTTTTGCTTTGGTTTATCTGGGCCCAGATTGTCTGTGCAGAGGTGCTACGAGCTCAGTGAACTGTTCTAGGGGAATACTCGTCTCGTGACTTCCAGGATGGGGTTTTACCCTGATGTGTTGTTGCAATGGTAATCCTGCTCAGCATGAGAGGAAACGTCATTTGTTGTATGAGTTCAGGAACCAGTGGTGCAAAGCTAACAACTGAACACCTGTAATTTAAAAAAAACCTGCCTAGATGCACCACTGGTTGGTCTCAGATAGCCGGACTCAGCTGCTGAAGGAGAGCTGTTCATGACTGGGCTTGGGGACAGCTCGATGAACCTGATTCTATGTTAAGGTCTTGTTGAAAGTCATTCCTTGATGAGGCAGCTCATGCGGTAGAGTGGGTGGTCTACCAACTGGAAGGCTGGTGAATCGATCCCCAGCTCCTCTAGTTGAGGTGTCCTTGGCAAAAGACAGAGTCCACAGTTGCCTGCGATCCATATATGTGCATGTAGGATATATGTGTGCATGATTGGGTGAATGAAATGTGTAGTAGGGAGTGCCCAGCTTGAGTAGAAAGGTGCTATAAAGATGCTATATAAGTACCAGTCCATTTACCATTTACCCTGACAACCAGGAGACATGATCTGTCCTGCTTATCCTGTGTCTGCTCCAAGGTCTCCTGACCAACAGCTCACCTTAAACTCCAGCAGGCATCCTAATCAGATGCCCCGACCAATGTTGAGGACATATGTAACTCAAACTTCTACTTAAAAACCCGGGTAACTGTACTCAGGCTCTATTCTGGCACAGATTGTATTGTATAGAGGTCAAGTATCCACGAACTCGAGAAAATATTGTGAGAACCATCAAATTAATAAAAGCAAATGAAAGACGAGTAATTACTCGTCCATCATGTCAGACATTTGTGTTATTAGACACACTTTTGTTAGACAATAAGAAAAGTGAAAACAGTTTGAGATATTATAACCCAGACTATTCTGTTCGATGGATCAAAGTGTGAGAGAAAAGATTGTAAAGCTCCAGGTTAAACCCATGGTTCGACCAGCTGTCTATAAATGATTTGAATAAAATGATGTGTGCTGCTTTATTCAGCTTTAATGTGACTAATTTGGCTCTTTTGCTGTTTTAAATCGTTCATTTTACCTTTTTGTTTTGCTTGAGAGTGTGACAGTGAAGGAGAGCTCTCCCGTCATGGTGCAGCTGCAGATGACATGCAGAGAGCAAAGGGCTTAACAGCTCTTCAATTGATCAAGTTATTGATAGAGGAGCTGGTCACATCTGGGCCTCAATCCAAGGGCAAAGGGCCAGCTTATTACAGAGGGAATAAACACACACACACATTCACACAAGGGGGGGACTCACAAACACCGACACAGAGATTTGTTGGATCCTACTGTCAGATCCTTCACCATCTCCACAGAGCTGCTTTCCTCGTCCTCTGCTTCCACCAGAATACAAAAGGCCAAGGTGTAGGCTAGCTACAGGCGATGAATACACCTTAAAAGGAATTTTCCAATAAATAATTTCCCAATGGAAAGAAAAAAAGTTTGGACCTAATTTGTGTAGAAGTGAGAAAGAGAAAACTAAAAAGTGGTCTGGGGGTTTCAGCTCCAAGTTGTAGCGTTTTATTTTATTAGATCATTGGAGGGGGGCATTTTAGGAGTTTGTCTGCGCTGCCTGCATCGTGGTTCGCTGTCTCAATAACCTCACCCTGTTCCCAGAGGTGAGAGTCTTAACAATATGCTGCTGCTACTACAGGCTCGTTATTGGCGCCTGCTGCCTGCCTGTTCCTCCTGGGACTTTTGACGGTCCTCCTGTCACCTTCACCAACCCTCCTCACCCCACATTTACACACACACACACACACACACACACACGCACGCACACACCTTCCTCCTCGTCCCCTCCTCCAGCTCTGGAAAGCCGGAGACGAGATGCTACGTTTCGTTAAATGACTTGCGCCGTCTCACCCCCTGAGTAAAATCCTGAAAACAGGCAGCGCTCTCACTCCAAATCAAAGCAAACGAGAGCCCAGACCATAGATCAAGCTGTGGTTTCCGACTGAAACTGACCTTTGCGCGCAGGAAACAGAAGTTCCGGTGAAGTCTGGGAGACCACTAAACCCAATTGCGCGTCACAAATGCCGCACAGAGGGAAAACGGTGATGTAAAGCAGAGGTCCTGCCAAAGTGGTGTCACTTAGCTTAATAGATCAAGTATGCTTTTATGAAACGCCCAAGTTAAATTCACACCGAGCGAAAATAGTGCGCAATCGCGAGTTTTCAGTGCCATGAAGTGTAGTTTTTGCATCAACACAGCGCTGTTATGTCACATGAAAACAAGTGCCATGTAATGTCATTGCTGTATTAATACACAATGCGATTGTAGTTAAAAGGTAAGTTTAAAGACGTCGGGATATTTGAAAGATTGTTTTAAAGTCTCCAGCGACAATATTCCAAGTAGATTTTCACTCATCATTTCCTCATCGGAGCCGGCAAGACAGAAGCCACCACAAAAGTACTAATGGTTGACAATAAAGCAAGACAGAGAGGAAAGGGGAGCGCTTACCTGCCAGTCCGGCATTCCCCATCACCCCGCAAGTATTTATGAGGAGGATGAACAAACAAAAGTCCCGAGAAAAACAAGCGCTCCCCATGCTGACAGACGGTGTGAGGATTCAGCACGGCTTTTCTGGGGGTTTGGACTGGACTGAGTGGTGTGTGTGTGTGTGTGTGTGTGTGTGTGTGTGTGTGTGTGTGTGTGTG